TAGTTTTTTTCCCTCAAGGAAAAGCAGGGGAAAGTCAGCACTTTCTCCATTCTGAAAGGCAAAGCCAGCAAACCAGGGAGCACACATCTTGCTCCATACACATGGCCATTTGCTTAGGCCAAATAAGGGATAGAGCAGGACCTGGGGATGCCTGTGTGCTGAGGATGCCACAGGAGCTCAGAGAACCTTGTGGAGGAGCTGCTGGTGGGCAGCGGTGGGAAGAGGCACTGAAAGGGACTGTTACAGCACACAGGAAACAAGACTTCACTAGAGCTAAAAGCAATTTGTTCCATGATGATAAAAAAGCATTTACACACAGAAGAATGGGCAATGAGTATGGCACTGTTCATAAGCCCTCAAGCAACTTCTTTCCTGTACTGACAGTAGCACCTCTGCACTTTCTACACTAAAAACTCAAGCCACTAGCAATCCAGTAGAATAGGAGTCAATTCTATCACAGCAAGGTATACGAAACGTCACAACTCTTGCTGAGGAGGACCTAGCCTTCTAAGTACTGGCTTAGTTTTATAAGTTGCTAACAAATATTCAAATTTGTTCAGAGAGAAAAGAATTTGATTAGTCCTCTTAGCACCGACATACTTTGACATGCGCATTCTCCCTGGAAAGTCTATGGAAGACAAGCACTTGTTCATACTTAGAAGATTTGCTGCTACTGCAAATCTTCTTAGAAACACTGTCAAAACATATGCTAAACTTGTGCAAAAAAATATTTGATTTCTACAAAAATCCATATATACATGAGCTGGACTCACTAAGGAGACAGTAAAGCACACCTCAGATGGCTAAACAACCGCTAAGTTTTTTTTTTTTTGGTAATGTAAAGACGCCATAATATCGTAATGGACAAAGTCTCACAAGCTTGCTATTGTTGCTACCCTTTTCTTTCAGATGTGACGTGGGTCTATACAGTTTTCCTCAGCTGGCAATTTGTTATTCCTACAGTGTTCTGAAAGCCAGTTTCCTCCACCTTTTAGGCTAGTCTCTGCATCAGCACAACTGTGCCCGAACTCGTCTGTAACAGCCTGAAGCCTGGGGCCATGGGACAAGTGAGGCACCCGGGGCCAGCCAAGCACGCTGTAGTTTCTCCTGTTGTAGCACAGCTGCACTAGCCACACTCTGCTCAGGGGGCAAGAAGCTTCCCCCAGCCCCAGTACCACCAAGCCAGAGCAGCCCAGCCCACTTCCCCAGATGAGGCAAGCCAAAGAGCAGGATGAGGGGTGAAGGCAGAGAGCAGTCTCAGCTCCAGGTTAGCTCTGCTTGCCACTTGTACCCCAGTGTAGATTGCAGCGGGCACCTACCTCTTCCTCCGTAACCATTAACCCCAAGAGACCCCAGGGAGTCCTACCTGCCCCCTGGCCACACCACCTGGGAGGAAGTTGTGGGGTTCCCATCCCCCAAGTCCCACCACCCCCAGAAGGAACCATGCAGCAGCTCATGCCACCCAGGGGTCACTGTCCTCTCCCCTACACACCCCCCCAGGCACCCATTACCCTGGTCATACGATCCCAGGGTCCCCATCCTCCCTGCAGGTAACACTCTCAAGCTACCCCCACCCCCACATCACACCACACTGGGGTATCCGTTCTCCCTCTCTAGCCACCCTACACTGGGGTCCCTGTCCTCCCCTCCTCAATCATCCCATGCCCAGGTCCCCATCTGCCCCTCCCTCATCACCCCACATCGCGGCCCCTGTCCACCCCTCCCTCATCACCCCGCACCAGGTCCCCATCCGCTCTCCAGTCACGCCACAGCAGGGCCCCCATCTTCTCCTCCCTGGTCACACCATGCCAGAGTCCCTGTCCTCCCCTCACCAGGCACGCCAAGCTGGGGCCTCCATCCCCCTCCCTGACCACTTCACATCGGGTGCCCCTGTCCCCCCTCCAGGCACACCACGCTAGAGTCCTCGTCCTCCCCTCGCCAGTCACCCCACACCGGGGCCTCCGTCCCCCTCCTTGGACGCAGCACACTGGGGGTCCCCGTCCGCCCTCC